CAAGTAGAATTCACCTTATTTTTACAAAGATGTGAATTAAGAAATTTCTGAATTTAAGAAAAATAAAGCTAATACATAGATTGGCTAGAGTTAGAATAATGGCTGCCTGATTCCAAAGCTCATATTGCCACTAGGTGAATCTGCTCATTGAGCACGACACTCCCTCCTCCCCACCCTTTTAAAGAGAATCTGTTTGATTCTAAGGGAAACCTCTGGAAGAAGGTAGTATAGGGGCAATCATATACTTTGTTGGTACAGAGTCCTGCTGTTCTTTCTGCACTTGTTCAAGGATGTTATATTTTCTGTACTAGAACTATATGGTAGCTACTCTCTAAATACATTGCCAGCACTTAATCCTATAATAGCTCTATGAAACCAGTAACTTTATAACCGTTTTACAGATTAGAAACACCAAAGTAAACACATTTTCACACACTTTGCTAGTGAAGTGCCCTCTGATGGCCTTCCCATTAGCCACCCTTCTCCCCACCCCTCACCTCAGGGCCCTTCTCTATCCTACACTCCTTTTTTCTGACTGCTCTTTCTCAAGATCTTCACTGGGCTTCATTTTCCTCTCTAGCTTGCCACAGTTCCACAGTCAGCCTTTTCCTCCTTCTCTGTTTTCCTCAAGGTCCCTTCTCCTGGTCCCTTTTCTGTGAAGTCTTTTCTGACCACTGCCAAGCTTTTCTTTGAGCTTTTCAGCCAAGTCCTACACATAGACTTCTTAGAGCCCATATCACTTTATATGACTTCTTTGTTTAGAAATCTGTTCCCTGCCTCTCAGAAGTCCCTCAAGGGAACGGGACCCTGTTTACTGACTTGCTATCCAGGCACTTAGCAGGCTGTAAGGAAGGTTTACTGAATACATAAATGGCTCTCCAAAATCTTGAGCTCCTCTATTCTTTCTGAGATCCAGTCCTTAATTCCCTCCTGGATGTCTCGTCAGAACCCTAACCTTAATATATCTAGAATTATACTCATCTGCTTTCTCTGTCATCTCCATATCCTACCTTACATTTTTGAAGAAGACAGTTACTGATGTATTGGAATCACATGGATTGCTGTAATGAGTACTGATGCCTGTCTCAGCCTTAAAGACTGATTCTGCAAGCCTGAGATGCATCAAGGGCATCAAGACTTTTAAATGTTCCTAGATGGGCTAATGGTACTGTTATTCCACAAATAAAATATCTTGAAGTTGTCTCCAACTTTTCCCTTTCCATAGAAAGGGAAATAGATTCCCTACTCTGTGTTCTCTGTCTCTCTCTGTCCCCTTGCTTTTTTCCCTTTATGGACACTGCTCAATCTGGCAGTTCTTAAATATCATAAGCCTTAATACTGTTTAGGGAGGAAATTGGACTGAAGCCTGTGTCCTCCCAAACACAGCCAAGATTCTGTGCGTCAACAAATATATTACTTAGCTTTAAAATTTACTGTCTTTCACATAATAATTTACCCATTATTCTTGTAAACTGGATGTACAAACATATATGTTGATTTTATTTCCACAGTTATGTTTAAAATACTAAATCTTAGCCATTTCTAATTCCGGAAATTAACTTCAAAGCCCCACCTTCCCTCTCTTCCAGCTCTTGGGATCACCTGTATCAGCTTCCCATGAGAGGGCTTCTCTCCCCAAACCCCATGCCAAGCACTTATTTATTCCATGTCTGTGGGCTTTCAGCCAAACTCAGAGACCCAAGATGAGAGAGGACAAGGCACATAAGAGGGGTGGAAGCTAACACTTGTTACTTTTTATTGGGTTAGCCACTGTATAAGGTGCTTTGGTATCTCCAATAAGTCTCATAATAATCTTATAAATTAAGAATCATTCCTGTTCTACTCACTCAGCTAAAGTTACTCATTATCAGGGGATGAATTTGGGTTTGCTTCCAAAGCTTAGACTCTTTTCCAATTTTTTTTTTATCACTGCCCCCAGAGGAAGGATCATTCATGAATCTCAAGGAGGACCTGTAGCATCTAGCCCACTGTTCCTCATCCAGCAGTGCCAAGTAGGAGTATGGAGTATGTTGATTGACTTTAAACAGTTACCTTTCCTCCAATATTGAACTTTAAACCAAACAAGTGCTTTCCATTAGCTTTCCTCATTATCCTTACAATTAAGGATCTCCGTTGAGTTCTGGGACAAAGGGACATCTGTTGGCTGAATTCCTGTGAAGCTTCTTCTTCTTTTTTTTTTTTAAGATTGTATTTATTTATTTATTTGACACACACATACAGAGAGAGAGAGAGAGAGAGAGCGCACACAAGCAGCGGGTGGGGCAGAGGGAGAGGGAAAAGCAGGCTCTCCGCTGAGCAGGGAACCTGATGTGGAGCTCTATCCCAGGACCCCAGGATCATGACCTGAGCCAAAGGCAGACATTTAACCAACTGAGCCACCCAGGTGTCCCTCCTGTGAAGCTTAAAAACAATTTGGAAAATAAATGAAGGGAATCAGTATTTTCATAACCCAAGCCAACTGCCTTTCTGTTGATTTCATGATCTCATCAGTTACACTTAACTCATTTGGGGTTTGTAATTTAATTCCTGTGTGTTCTTTTGAAAATCTAGCTCAGATTTGCAAGTCAGCTCACCTGGGTTCAAATAACAGCTCCCAGATGATAAAAATAATTGCAAATCCATAGTGTTGTTTTGAAAAATAATGAGGTGATGAATGTAGGCACTTAAAATGGTGCTTGGCGTGTAACAAAGCTCAGTAAATATTAACTAGTTATATTTTTTTTCACCCAGTCTACCAGGTGGCCTGAAATAGTGAGGCTTGGCAATATCTCCCTAAATGTCATGTTTAAATATGTAGGTGTTACCTGTTTGGGAAGAGAGGATCCTATTAGCACCCAAAAGCATTATGCCAGTCATGCATTTAACTTTTATTAGTACAGTATGAATAATGTGTGATTTGTTGAATAATTTACTTGAAGAGAGGTCTTGCGGGAATGGGTCTCTGAACTACCCCAGAGACTCGGAAATGGAATCTAAGGCTGGAGCCAAGCAGTGGGCTGCTATTGGGAAGTTTGTTCTATAGGAGAGCCTTGGAAGAGGAGGTAGATTGCAAGGTGAACAGAGGCATTTCGTTTAGATGCCAGATTGGTTCAGATCCCAGTACCTCTGTTCACCAACGGTGGGCTTTGACCGGCAAATCATTCCTTCAGAACCTGTTTCCTTATCTAGAACATGGAGCTAATTCCATGTTTCTCAGAAAGTGAGTCTCAAGACTAAATGACAAAACATTTGAACACTTTGAGCAAATGCCTTGGCATCTCACTGGTGCTCACTAATTGCTAAAGCTCAAAGCCTAAATAAAATAGGCTCCTATTCCCTACTTTCTACCATACCATCATGGTTATGCCCTTTATGACACTGATTATAATCTGAAATGGTCTTGTGCAATTATTTGTTTACTTGTTGCCTGTTAGCAAGACTTACTATTGCCCTCACTTACACTGCGAAACATACCCTCTAGATACACTGTATTGCCTACGGGTAAGACCTTCCCCTGAAAGCAGACCTACTCATAAAGATGAATATTTGCTCCTATATCCACACCTCCCATTCATCCTCAACCCACTTTAGGCTAGCTTTAAGATACCTTTCAAATGTGAACACTAAGGACAGACTGCTCAGTTCATTTGCTTTCACTCCTAATATCATTTGTCACAGTTGACTCTGCCTGCTTCTTGAACACAGTTCCTCTCTTAGCTCTTGTAATGGGATGGTGCACTCTCTTGGATTTCTCCCTATAGTAGTGCTGATCTAAAGCCTCCCTCTCCATGCTAGCCCCTCTTTATCCTATTCCTCTGTGTCACTGTCTTCACAGCACTTACTAGTATTTGAAATGGTCTCATTTCTTTATTTGCATGTTATAGTTGTCTGTCCCTTACTGGCTGGCTCTGTGAGGCAGAGAAAGGTCTGTTTTGTTCATCACTGTGTCACTCAGTGATGGCAGTGCTGCTAGTACTTTCCATAGTTCACTGAAGCTGAAACGCCTTCTGTTGCAAGATGCACTGTTGTTTTAGGGACTACTAAAAGAGAAAAACAAGTTCCCAATTAAATGGTGACTTCCTGCTTCCTTATCACTTAGAAAGTTTATGTTTATTTAAATAACCCCTTGAGACTTATTAGAACTAGACAAAAAATTTTTTTTTGGTACATAGGACTTCTGTTCATGAATGAAAAGGAAAATGTAAGCAAAATACATTTAACAAATATTTTTTTCTTCACATACAAAATCAAAATCTCTTGACTCACTCCTAGAAATGTCAGTGTGTCAATGCATTTTCCAGCACCAAGTTATCCTTTGTGTCATCAAGAGCGCTGAGAACACATCGTTTCTTAAGAGTGCCCCCTTTTCTCTCTTAGTATTTTCTCTTAAGCTGTTGACACCCTTTTTGCAAGTTTCAATGGTGGTGCTTTCTTAATCTTACCAAAGAATGTCCATGAAAGGTTTTTCAGACAGGGAGCAGGACTCTCTCTTCTCCGCCCCAATGGTCCTTAAATAGATTTGGGACCAAAACATCAAGGTGTTGCAGTTGTTTTGTGAGTTGTCAGCAATAACAAATAGATTGCAAGTGCCCAGGCAATGACAACATCTCTACTGCTGCGTGGTGATAAATTATGACAGACTACAATTGTAAAAATGCATCAGAAATGTTAAAATATGAGAGGAAACAAAGATTGTCTTAGAATTATTGAAATTCCTTCGTACGTACTTCCTAGATAATTGCTCGTGAATGAAGGGAACTTGTGTTACTGTTGTGTAAGGCAACCAAAGTCTAAAATAAATCATCTAAGAAAGAAAGAAATCCCATATATCAAGGAATTATTCCAACTGCCTTTAAATTCTGGAACCAGTCATGAATACTTGATGATGATTATAATTTAATCTAGAGCAGGTTTTAAAACTGGTTTTAAATTATAGGTTTAAAACTGTGAATATACCTTTTCACTTACAATTTTTTTATTTTTTTTTATTTTTATTTTTTTTTTGTTCTACTCACTACTTTTATTCTCAGCCCTGAGGGCCAATGACAAGCTTGGCTGCGGAGAGGGAACTGGGGGTTGGCAGAAAGTGAGGCATCGCTGTGGAGAGGCTGGTTCTTCCTGGGTGAGTGTTGCTGGAGAGAGGGAAGGGGTGGCTCCTCCCCAGCTGAAGAGGCTAGAAAGGCAAGGCCGAAGGGGCAGGAACAGCTAACGTGTTGGGTGTCGGGGAACACTGTCCCCTCTCCCTGCACCTTCCATCTTGTCCATGGGCCTGGGTCTTGGGGCTCCAGGTTGGAGGATGAAATGGGAGTCCGCCTAGCTCTTGGGCCACCTCCTTGGGCCACACACTCCTGACAGATGGGGGCTTGGGCAACAGAACGTTCCTGCATCGTTAAATCTGTACTGTTCTGATATGACCTGTGTCCCAGATGATGGAGAGCCAGGTGCCAGGGTGTTGTGGAAGGAGCTTGGCCCAGGTCCTACTTGGCCATGCCCAGCCCAGATGACAGGTCTTCCATGTCCAGTGGCTCTTTTAGTGGAACCTCAGTGCTCTTCTTCTCCAGGGAGTTCTTGCTCATTTCAAACAGGAGCCACTGATACATCCAGTTCTCAAAGACCTTCCAATCCAGGGTCTCCATGGTGTTCTTAAGGTGTTTCAGGTTCTCTGGGAAGCTCCCCTTCAGCTTTGGGTACACCTTCAGGGGGTCTGCCTCCAGAAGCAGGTGCATCACGTGGTCCTGTGTCATGTTGCCGTACTCGGTGGCATTCTGTGTGGGCCCCTGGGGCAGGCTTTGAATGGGCAGCGCCTGCATCAACATGGGAGTGGCCACCCTCATCTTGCTCAAAGGCTTGGGAGGCTTGGGAAGCTTCATGCGCAGGCTCTCCAGCTGCAGGTTCTGGGAGGTGACCGTCAGCTTGTCCAGCCGGCCCTGCTGCTGGTACAGGAAGTAGGCCGTGGTGGCCTGGCCAGCCAGGAGCAGAGCCACCAGGACAGAAAAGCCTGTGTACAGAGCTCCTCGGCTGCACTTGCTCTCTGGGGCACCAGGGCGCTGGCCCAGCATGGGTAGCTGCTCATGGTTGGAGATGAGGTCGCGCTGGTCTTCCATAGTTCTGGCCTCTGGTCTTCCCCACGCTTCCTGCTGCTGCTGCTGCTGCTGCTGCTGCTGCTGCTGCTGCTGCTGCTGCCGCCACCACCTGTGTGTCTGGGACCCTGAACCCCTGGCTCACCTCTTGAAGTTGGAGCTGAGGAGGGATCTGATTTGTCCACAGGAGGCCACTCCGCCCACCACTTACAATTTTTTTAAAATACCTTATCTATTCATTCATGAGAGACAGAGAGACGGGGGGAGGGGGCGCAGAGACACAGGCAGAGAGAGAAGCAGGCTCTATGCAGGGAGCCGGATGTGGGACTTGATCCCATGTCTCCAGGATCACGCCCCGAGCCAAAGGCAGGTGCTAAACTGCTGAGCCACCCAGGGATCCCCTCACTTACAATTTTATTTTAGAAGTTTACCGCAGTGTACTTTAAATTATCCACTTTTTAAAAGATATGAATATTCATATTTTCAATAGAGTGCCCGAATTTCTTATACATGGAGGATAGAATGCGTTTTATTTTATACAAATAATTTTTTTAACCACGAGAGGGCAGCCTTGTTTAACTTATCAAATTCTCCCGAAGGCCTAGCTGGGCAGCCACTTTCTGGCAGAATGCTTCACCGAATGGGAAGGGAGGGCTCCAGGAACCTCAATCAGCTGTGTTTTTCAGGGGTTTGACTGCTAAAGGCTAGCTGTTCTGAGGGGAAACACAATGATTCTGCTAATTTTATTTTCCTGTGGTCTTATGTTGGCACTAAAACCTGGCACTAGAGTAAAACCTGGTATTCTTTATTTAGCAGGCAGATAGGGGATCTAGGGGAGTTGGTTGTTTGGGAGAATTGACATGTATGAAGGATCAGGTCGCTGCAGGAGGGAATGGATTAACAAAAGCCATGTCTAGGATTTGAAGTTCTGGATGACAAATACAATCTACAGTTGTGCAAACTTTGAAATATCAGTAAAGCCTGCCTGGGGAGGCTACACCATCAGAAAGGTGTGAAGTTGGGGCACCTGGCTGGCTCAGCCGGTTAAATGGTATCTGACTCTTGATTTCAGCTCAGGTCATGATCTCAGGGTCATGGGATGGAGCTGTGCATTAGGCTCACCACTCAGCGAGGAGTCTGCTTGCGATTCTGTCTCCCTTGACCCCTCCCCTTGCTTGTGCTTTCTCTCTTCTCTCAAATAAATAATACAATAAAATCTTAAAAAACATATAAAGGTGTGAAGTTGGAGATGGGTTTAGTAATGGAAGTGGGTCACAATCAATTAGCATAGATGGTTAGGAAGACACGAGAGAATCAAGCTTTATATCTTACATCCTTATTAGATCATTTATTCATTCATTCCTTCACTTAGCACACATGATTAAATTTTATCACACAGAGGCATAGCATGAGCTCCTCAGCTAGTGAGAGAAATGTCTAGTAAATGATAATTGCTATTTAGTCTAAGTGGTGACTAAATGTGTGGACACAGTAGTACCATGGAAGCACAGACTGGGAAGTAACTTTGCATGGAGGATTAGATACCCACATGAATTAAGGGTCTGTGAAGCATAGGGTTAGAGCCAGATCTGTTAGTGTAGGCCTGAGCACAAATAATGCAATGCCCAGGAAGGGAAGGGAGCTCTAGCAAGTCTGGATCTCAAAAACTCTGCCCCTGACTCCCTTACAGGCAGAACTTTTGCTTTTAGAGATTTTCCATCTCTACAGGGGTGAGAGCAGTTACAATGGTATGTCCAATGTCCTTTACAGTTAAAGATCCTTCTATGTCAGCTTTGCTAACTGAGCTATGAGAACATATGGCAACATTCACTTCTTCATTCTACAAACACATAAGGAATCAGTGGTATATGAAGGAGGTAAAATCCAATCTTTGTGCTCCAAGTGCTCACAATCAAGAAAGGAAGAAACTCATAACTTTCTTTTTTAAGATTTTATTTATTTATTTATTTATTTATTTATTTATTTATTTATGAGAGATACAGAGAGACAGACGTAGACAGAGGGAGAAGCAGGCTCCCTGGAGGGGAGCCCGATGCGGGACTCGATCCCGGAATTCCAGGATCATGCCCTGAGCTAAAGGCAGATGCTCAACCACTGAGCCACCGAGGCATCCCAAGAACTCATAACTTAGTGGGCACAGTTAATTTCTTTGTGCAGATGGAAGGAAAATTCACTTTTCGTCATGTCCTGGAATCTAGTGATTATGGTTTTCCCTCATTGGCTTCTTTTCAAAAAAGGATGAGTTTTGGGATGCCTGGAATGGAAGTGGTAGAAATCATAGTATTTCATTTTAATCTCAGGCCCAGGTTGTAAGGTGAATGCTCAAATACAACAACATTAATTTTATCCCAGGGCAAGATAGAAATGCTTTTCAGATCATGTCCTGTTTTGATATTTCTGTATCAGGGCTCCCCAGCATACTTGGAGATACATTCCAATTCATAAAGGGGGGAAAAAGTTACTAAAGAGATAATATAGTATAAATATCACTTTTAAGTGAATTAATTTATATATTATTCACCAAAAAAATCATCTATATGCATTTAAATGTACATCTATTCAGTCTATAGTGTGCATCTGTCCTTAAGGACTTAATTCTGAGCTTCCTTATGGCCTTTAGCTTCAGAATACCTGCTATACTCCTGAGCTCTTCCTGAGGAAACCTATGTACAAACCCTTTCCTTGCTTCGAACACTTGACCATGTTCTAATTGAGAGATCAGGAGACACTTTTTGTAAAAAGCCAGACAGTATATATTCTAGACTTTGTGGGAACTCCTTAATTCTGTCTGCCCCTGGAGTGTGAGGGCAGCCATAGACAATACATCAATGAATCAGAGTAAAAAAAAAAAAAAAAAAAAACAGATGGCAGGCCAGATTTGGCCTGTGGGCCATACTTTGCAGGTCTCTGTTCCAAATCATCTGATGCTACCATTTTCACTAATTAGACTAGGAAAGGGCACCTGAAGTATGGGTAGCAAATCTATTAGCCAGTCTCAAGATAATGAGCAGCCTTGGAAGGAAGCTGGCATGAGATTTTTGAAGAAATCAGTATTTCTTGATAAATGGATGGATGGATGGATGGATGGATGGACAGATGGATACAAAAATTATTACTAGGATCAGCCACACCAGGAGCCAAGAGTACTCAGAGAGTATCAGTAAACTAAAGCCAAAATATTAAAAAAAAACAATATCCATGTAGAGGGTGGAGTAGCTGGTTAATGATACCAATAGTAGAGAATCTGAGAAAATTACCACTTGGTGGTGGTGGGGGGGAGAGTGGCTGTCAAAATTTTGATGCTAATTTCCTGTCAAGACAATGGGTCTTGAGAATTGTGTGTCCTGAAAAAAATCTTACAGCTTTTAATCCATATTCCAGCTTCAGTCTGGCCATTCTTGAGTTCCTGGGGGACTTCTATTATTCTTAGTTCCACATGAAACCTCATAGCTGATTTTTTTTTTCATAGCTGATTTCTTGTTGCTAGAGGTAACCTCAGTGAATCTCTGTTTCTGAGAACTCCAAAGAGCCTAGCTAACACTGTCCTCAGCCTGTACATTGGGAACCAGAGTCGTACGTCAAATATGCATCACCAGATATGGCTGGCTATGTTAGGAGATTTCTCTGTTAACTGTTAGTTTTATACATTTTCTCTGGTCTTTGAATAGAGTAACACTAAGTAAAACTTCCTTGAAAAAGCACAGACATTTTCTCTGGGGGCATTTGACGAGGAACAAGCATGAATGTGTATCCCCTTCAGGCCGTTCTGTGCTGCTCAGTGAGGCATTAGGGCTCCATATGGTAGAAATTCTTCCATGACAAGTCTAGTTTATTCCAGTTGTTGCTTCTTTTGAAGATCTTGGTGAAACCTTTCATATTTCTCACCTGAATGTAGTGAAGGATTTTGGGCTGCCTGGGAACAAGTTTAAAGGAAGGTTACATTATTAATCAATACTCTTTTATGTCCAGTTATCCCTGGCCAGAGATGAGTCCTTCACATCACTCTTAATAGTCCCTGGAATTTAATTCAACCCTTGTCATCTCTGACAGTGTTTTATGGTCCCCTTCTCTGGCTGCCAATCTTAAAATAACAGATTTGGGAAGAAATTTTTGTCCTTTTCTTCCACAAAGTGGGAAAGAATGTACAATTTTTGCAGCCACTCAGGGTAGAAAGGTACTTTATTTTTGAAGGGGACTTGGATTTGTTAACCTATCTTTTTTTCCAAAAGCTATGCTGAAAGATATTTTATTTCTCTGATTTATTCTTATTATTAAGAAAAAAAGTTTAGCCAGTTGTCAAACATTGCATAAAACATGGCACTCTGCTTTTGGAAATTATTTCTTACAGATCTGAGAGTACATTGGAATTATTAATATGAATCCCTTAGCCATCCTCTCTTGAGAGCAGGTGAAAATAGACATCATTACTGTTTTCCTGTTAGGGACCAAACTGCATTAATAGCACACCTAAGATTTGCAAAATTGCCATGTACTAGGCACCAAGGCACAGTGTATTGATAACTTGTAGGTCCTGTAGTAAGCAAGCAGATGCATTTGCTTCCAGTGTATGTAACCACTGCACATCCTGCTTTCACAGAGTATGCCCTGGAGCACAAGCTTCAGAAAATGTAAGAGAATTCTCCATGCACAGAGCATGGAGATCTGAAGAAGAAAACCCAAGTGTGAACAATGAGATATTGGATCCTTCCGAATTTTCATTTTTTTTTCTGTAAGCAGGAGAAATACACGCCCCTGGATTATATTTTGAGTAACAAGTCAGACAGTCAATGCGATGGATTGATGCTCACTACATGGCAGCCTCTGTGAGTCACCCTCACAATGAGGTAACTGATCAGAAAAGGCAGTGTAGGCACCAGCTGATGCAGAGATAGAGGCCTGTGGCATACCCTTGTTTTACATGAAGCTTGTCTTTTCTTTATTGAAAGCTATGTTCCATGCTGCTCACATGGCTGTTTCCTGTCCTAATTAATTTTTGAGCTCTCTGTTGGATTTTAATTACAGACCTATTAATTCATGAGAAGAGTTGACAGATGTTGTAGGTTGGTCATAGCAAATTAATAGGCAGGTGCTGGGTAGAAAGACCTAGACTCTTCGTAATTGACTTCACAGAAAAATTACTACTTGGAAGTAGGAA